CTCCTCCCCACTCCGCACCAAGCGTCCTCACACATGTCCATAAATGCATGCTCCGCGACGATGGCTATCCTCGCAGGCGATCAGAGAGTTGGCCCCAAAGCCACTGCTGATCTCGCTCGCCCGCTTCGCCCCCGCTACGGATAGCGGCGCTGCCGGCGCCGCCGGCGCGCAGCGCGCGACAGAATCAATCTGCAGGTTGCTGGTGAGGCTGCTGGTGCTCCCCGGTTGTGCGGGCAGGGAGTACGGGCCCCACGAAGAAGCCGCGGAGGCGGCGCGCGCGGACGCGCTCCGCTCTCCAAGGACCTTCGATTCGGTCGGCCCCCTGCTCGCCGTCGCGCGCGCCGGCGCCGACACGGCCGCGCGCCCCCTGGCGCGGGGCGCCGCGTGCGATGCCATGCGTGTTCTGACGGCGTTGATGCAGCAGGAGAGCCAGGACGCCTTTTGTACTGAGCGCACGCCCCCGCCGTCCGGCCCTGCCGCGCGGGTGGCGCGCGAGCACGGCCTCGTGCAGGCGACTGTAGAGCTAGCGGCGTCGCCCCAAGGCGAGGACGGCTCGCCGACAAGGCCCGCGATGTGCGCAATTGAGCTGCTGGGGGCGATGGTGTTCGATGACAGCGACGCCGGGCGCGCCGTGGAGGGCGCCGCGCTACGCAACGCGGCGCTCTCGCCCGCTCTGGTCAAGGCAATGATGTGAGCCGGGTATGACTAGTTGGGCGTGAGCTCCTAGTGCTGCGTGCCGGCTGCTCTATGGCTGGGCTCGACTTTCCCACCCGCTCCCAACGCTGTTCATTGCTTCGCTGGCCGCAGATGCAGCAAATGATAGCAATGCGCCCCACCTCCCCGTGTGCCCGTTCATGCGCAGGTGGCCCCCAGCCATGGCGGTGCTGGCCGACCTCCTACGCCGCCCCGCCACGGGCCCGCTCGCCGCCGCCGCCTTGGCCGACGACTCGCCGGGGTCGCGCCCCTGCGGCACAACTTCCACCGCCTCGGACCTGCTGCTGAGGATGCTCTCGAGCGGCGGCCGCATGGGACCAGTGCTGCCCGCAGCCGCCTCGATCTATTACGGCCTGCGGGTCGAGCCGCTGCGCAGCGCTCTGATTGCAAAAGCAGACCTCATCCATGCGCTGCACGCGGGCATCGTCCCGCGCTTCATCGCGAGCTCATTCTCAATCGCCGCCCTGGCCGAGCTGCTGCGCCCCGAGCCGGCGGGCCAGCAGGCGGCGGCGCTTGTCCGCCTTCTTACGACGCCCGACCCCGGCGTCCCGTGCGAAATTGACCCGTTGCGATTCCACGGCCTCAGCCATATCATAGTGCAATTGTATGACTTTGTAGGCAAGGGCAACACGTGCGACCGGGCGGGGGAGTGGCCCCAAACCCACTTTGCGGCGCGCGTCCACCACGTGCGGCGGGCCGCGGTCGAGCTGCTCCCCGCGATTGTCCGCGCCGCCGGCCCTGAGCAGCGCCGGATTATCGTGCGCGAGGCGAAATTTCTCCCTTCTTGCTGCCACAGCTGCGTCAACCGGCTGCTACGGGAGGAAGATGCCAGGCGGGGCCGCGCAGCCGCGAGCGCGCTGGTGGAGGCGGCACGGCTGCTGCGGGACGCGGCGGCGGAAGGGGGCGACAGGGCAGGAGCGGCAGAGTTTGATGAGTTCATCCTCCGCGGGTCATCGGCGCCGTGATATATATTGTATGATGCCGCCGCAGCCAATTGGCGGCGCGCGCCCGCCATCTCCACATGCACTCTGCATATATCAGGCGTGCGTCTGATTCGGCCCCTCCGTCCCACCGCGCTGAGCATGCTTCTCGCATGTGTGTTGCCCCCTGCGCCGCCTGCTGGGCGGCGCATCGCATAGACGTTTGGACAGCTAGGCTGTGGTTTTGCAGCAAAACACCTCGACCACAAACTCGGTCTTGCCAATTGTTGGCAGTACCCTTGTGTTGAAATGCGGCTTTGATTTGTGCTGCTGATGAGTGGATGGCTGTAATGTCAGACCCACTGGCTTGAAAGCATAGTAATTTGTTACTTGCAGGCAAGGGTTGCAAACCGCCACAGAATTTGTTGAAAACAGTCGAAAGAAATTCAAATCAGGCGGACGAAAGAGACGACTGTGTGCAGCACAGTGGAGAGCGTGTTTCATGCGCTCGCGTAGCAATGACCGCCGCTGCCAGTGGTGGTGGTATACATCTGAGTCAGCAGACGAGACAACTCAGCCACAAGGGGCAGGTGGCAAACGTCACCGTCCCAAGCAGCGCATCTTGGCCAAACTGGCTGAAGCGCTGAAGCGCTTGGCCTGCAGCATGCACGAGACATTGGGGGCCAACCTCCACACAGAGTACATGCGGCTAGAACGCAAGACTGCGCCCGGCAGCTTGGCGTTTTCAGAAGGGGGGAACCGAGCCGCCGCGCGAACTGAGACTGTGCCCGCGGTGGAGGTGTGGACAGGTCCCCGCCATGCACAACCTGCACAAGTGGGGAAAGCGCAAAAGCACGGCCTGCCGCCTCTGCGGAGACCTGGATGCGACTGCTGGGCATACCATGCTGGCTGCCATGTCCGGCGCTGAGCGCGCAGCACACGTTCCGCCACCACCGCACGGGGAGGATAATCCCTGCAGCGATTGAGGCCGGTGCGATGGGCGGCTGCATTGACTGCAGACCTGGGGTCAGCAGAAAACTGCAAAGTGGATGGGGTGGTGCACCGCCGCACCTTTGACAAGTGCTCCATCCTGCCACCCGCACAAAGGATTAAGATTAGGATTGTTACAGCGTCCCGCGGGCGTCCGCTCCTGGAACCACCCAGGCTCATGGAGTGTATGACGCCCTCAAGGCGCCCCCCTGCTTGCTTCAACCCCTCGCTTGCTGAACACACCAAAGCAAACAGCGCTCCTTTTGCACGGCGCACAGGCGG